TGATGGAGAGGAGGTATAGATTGGACATCCGCAAAAACTACTTCACAGTTAGGGCAGCTAGGAGCTGGAACCAACTTCCAAGGGAAGTGGTGCTGGCCCCTACCCTGGGGGTCTTTAAGAAAAGGCTGGATGCCTACCTGGCTGGACTCATTTGAGTCCCGTTTCTCTTTTTGGGGTTTTTTGTTGTTCTCCCACCCTGGCGGGGGGTCGGGCTAGAAGATCTACTAGGTCCCTTCCGACCCTTAATCTATGAATCTATGAATGATGATAGGAAAGTCCTTCCTGTCTCCTGGTAGGAGCATGAGGTGGCAAGCAGTAACCTTCCCTAAAGGGTGTATCTTCTTACAACCTACTATGAACCCACTAGCTGCATTGCCAACATCAGACTCCCTCTTTCACAGCTTTTTTACCTAACACGACCTGTGAAAGTGCAGTAGTATAACTAGGGATGGGTGAGCTACCCATAGGCTCTGGGCACAAATTCATAGGGGTGCCAGAATGGTGGGCTTGGGGGAGCCCATACCATGACAGCACCAGCTGGAGTCTTTGAGACTGGTCAGGTAAGACTTTCTGATACCTCGCTCTATGATGCTTCTGCCCAGGGTGCAAAAATTGTTAGTTGTGCTAGTGTGAAAGTCTTGGTGAAGTTGAACTTGCTCTAAGTCGATCCATGATGAGCACTGTAAGAGCAGCTTTACTGATTTCCACCCCCCACTTCTATTCCCTGATGACCTTATTGACCATCAAGTAAAAATCTAAGGATTTTTTCATGCACAGAGAAGGTGTTCTCTTTCTCTCAGAAATCTGGAGTGGTCCTTTTCAAGGACAGTAAGCTAAGGGTTGGCAATCTATAGCCTGTGGTCTGTACAGGTGTAGCCTGTGGAACCAGCTGTAATTTAAATTTACTGAAGATACCTAGTTGTAATAGAGAACTTTTTTGAGTTGGTTCTAATGTGTATCATTTGTACATGTGTAAACTTTTGCATTCATTTTCTATGGTTCCAGTCAGCATTCGAATAACATACATATGGCATCAGTGTTCCAAACCTCCCTGAGCTCAAATCATGACAATGCCCTTACGCTGGAATGTCCTCTGGTACCAAACGCTCTCAAGCATACATACTTTCACAGAAAGCTAGTTGGAATTTTTCTGGGAAACGTTTTGTCAGAAAATGGCAATTCATTGAAATCAAAGCTGTTCATGGGGATGGCTTCTCTAGTTTAAACTTAAGAAAGCTCATATGCATGCATGCTCACATGCATGTGTGCACGCATACATGTACATGCACACACAGGTGGGTCCAGATGGGGTGCAGTGGTGTGGCTGCACTCCTTTCAGACTGGACTGCATCATGGGAGCCTCCAGGGACTTTTGAAGTCCCTAAGGCAGGTGATTAATCCTCCCTCCCCCTTCCTACTCAATGGCATGCTTGCTTGTCTTCCCTCCTCTATCCTCACCTGCTTCTGCTGCTTTCCCTACTGTCCCGGAAGTAGGGGAAGCATTAGCCAGCCAGGTTAGGCAGGGACACAGGGACAGTAGCAGTGGAGATGGACAAGGGGGTCCCCCTTCTCTGCACCTGCTTGAGGGAGGGGAGGGCTGGGCAAGGTGGG